CCCGCCCCCCCCCCCCCCCCCCCCCCAACCCAACCCGAAAAAAAAAAAGAAAAAACCCCATCCCCACCCCATACAAAATAAAAGAAAAAGAAGAGTACAAAACTAATCAAAGATGTACTGATACCTCCCATAACTTTACAGAAATAATAAGGCCTAGTCATATCAACAGCGGTATGAGAATAACATCAAAGGGTAACTTGCTCATCAACAGAAACATAAAATCTGTAGTAAATGATTTGTCCCTTATATTACATAGAGGATTTTTAAAATGAAAATTATCATTTCATAAGGATTATTCATCAGACTACGAATTGGTAGCTGCTGGCATCATCGCGTCAAAGGATTGAGTGGTTGTGCGCAATGCACAAAAGAAGGCTGTACATGAGCATCCAAATTTTCATAAGGATAGTCATCTTGACCTCAATTGTTGCAAGAATCTAGACACTTGCCAAGAGAGTGGTTTTTTGTGAAACTTAGAAATTTTGTACTCAATATCATCATGTCATCACCATTTAAGTCTTTTCCAATCTGGTTAGCAAGGCGGCCGGCTTTGTATGAACTATGAAGTAAGCTCCTTGAAAAACTTGACCTAGTTTTTACAAGCTGCTATCAAGTAAATGACGACCTTCTGACTATGCCTAGTTATTGGTCAAAGTAATTACAAGCCAGGAGGGAGCCAAGTTGCATAACCATAGATACCATTGATTATAGGCACATTTTCTTAGTTAGACTACGTATTAAGTTAGAATTTACTGGTTAACCATTTTTTGCTAAAACCTGAAGGCTAGTTTGGCTGGTTGGAGAACCCACTTATTTTGTTATTCAGTATTGAAACATCTTGATGAATTGAAAGATGGTGGGGTTTCCTGATGTATCTGCTGAGGCACAGTGTAAAAGTTAAATTAAAATGTCATACTTTTAAGCACAACTAATTGTAGAAGTGTTCTTAAGTGTACTGTCGTCATGACAATTCTTGCAGTTTATCAGTATCATTTATTTCTTCACAAGGGCGGAGCTATTGAAGGTCTTTGATAACACCTATGTCTAGAAAACTTTAATTATGGAGGAAATTCTTCACCAATGGGACAGTCCTTTGTTTATTATCAAGGCTGAAGATGACTGTTTCATGCAGATTGTAGATTTTCTTTTGAGCAGGATTATTGAGACATAGTTGCTGTCATCTATGTTTCTGTTATTGATTTGACATTTTGCAGATTTTTTTTCTTCAGTCAAAGGTTATCAACTTTGACATGTAACTATGACATATTTTCATGTGGTTTCATTTCATTTTTCGAATATTATCCTTGTTGAATTTAGTTCTTTAGCTTTTTTAGAGTATAGTTGCGGTCACTTATTTATCTAACTTTTAACTATCTATTTCTTCTGATTGTAGGCTCATGGGATTGAGCATTTGGTGATACCCACGAGAGATTATTGCTTTGCTCCATCACTGGGAGATATATGTAAAGCTGTAGACTTCATCCACAGTACGCACAATCCTTCTGATTTTCGTAAATGCTTCAAATAAATTTTCCTTTCATGTTTAAAATCATATGAACACCTCTTTTCATGATTGTACTTTTAGATAGTTGCAAATAGTGGATTAATCTCACTCTAACTACTGCGTCTAACATCTTCAAGTGCGTGGACAAAACTCCCATTTTGGTTGACTTTGAATGAGAAGTTAAAATGATTCACTAATATTTTGCTATATATTTAAAGCTGGAGCCTTAATCAAAGTAGGCACAGTCCTGATTTCTTGATTGTTTTGTTTCAGATAATTGTTTTTTTCAATTAAATTATTCTAATTATAGGTATCTTTTCCTTTTGTGTTTTTTTTTGATAGTTGCAAATAGTGGACCAAACTTTAATTTTGGTGTAAAATGTGAAGATAATATGGTTGCCTTATATATCATTCTATAATAGAATATATCTTCTATTCCGTCTGATTGATATTAGTGTGCACTCAGTTAGGAGGTTTTGACTGGAACCTTCCAGTGATTTAATCAACTGTTTCGAACTCTCAGTTTGAATATATTTATTTTCATTCACTTTCTGAAAATTGTAAATTAAACCCATCTTCTGTAATCTCTCTTTCCTATCTTAGCACTAAAATCAAAAGATGATAAAATCATCAGTTTTACTGCTACTCTGCTATTGCTCCAAAGATTCCTTTTCTTTGTCTTTTATCCATGGCCACCTAGCTGAAGAATCGTCTCTTACTAAGGATTAATACGTTATGAAAGATTTGACTTTCTGTTTGATTCTTCCTTTTTCACTTATATTCTGTAAAGTAATGGAATCATGTTTAATTTATGAAGAGAATGCATCCTGTGGGAAGACAACGTATGTTCACTGTAAAGCTGGTCGAGGACGAAGCACAACCATTGTTCTCTGTTACCTGGTATGTTATAAGGGAACATTTTACTTAAATTTGATGCATTACCAATAAAAACGTAATTGACGATTTTTCTCCTCTAGGTGCGATACAAACAGATGACACCTGCTGCAGCGTACGAGCATGTCAGATTAAGTAGGCCAAGGGTTCTTTTGGCTTCACCTCAGTGGCAGGTGATTTTTTTTAAAAAAATTTTCAAAATGTCAGGCTTCCATCGGCTTAATAGAAAAATTGGTAGCTTGTAATGTGCTATTCATCTCTGTTCTTATTTTGTGCTTGAAACCTACTGAGTTGTAAGACAAGATTTGACTCTATTCCATCACTCATTTATTTTATGAGTAGATTTTTCTGATCTTAAAAAAAAACACAACTTTCAAGCACTATCAAACTACTAAAAAAGAAACCAGGGAAATCATCTTAAGAGTTCATTTTCTTTCTTACTTTCACCTTAACAGTATGAACAAAAACAAGCAGCTATTTTCATTGATATGTTAACAATATTCTATAGCAGTTACAAAAGAAACCTTGTATACCTTATTCGCAATAACTCTTGTGAAGAAACCTGTGGGTATGCTAGGTTTTCTGAGTAAATGCGACAGAATATTGTTATGATATGAGACTTGTTGCGACATTTTTCCAAGATTTTACAAATTTTCAGTATTCCTCTGACTTGATACCACAATTACTACCCACTGCGGGATTTTAAAACAAGATCAAAATCTTTATTTATGAAAATATAGTTGCTTTATTGATGAAAATGAACTTTTGACCACCCGAAACTAGGCAAAACAAACGACAGAAAGCAGCTTCTTAAAGAGTTCAATTTCTTTTACCTTAACAATATCATCAAGTACTTCAAAACAAGCAGTTCACAGTTCTTTTCATTGGTATCTTAACATTATCTTTAGCAGTTACCTAGAAAACCTTTTATACCTTACTGAATAACAAAATTGTGATAACCTATGTTACATGTTGGGTTTCACAGGCAGTCCAAGATTACTACCGCCTCCTAGTAAACAAAACCATGATTGCAAGCTGCTTAAACTATCCAATTACAAGATCACCTGTGCCCCTCACCACCGGCAACCTGATGAAGTTTGATGAAAGCTCGTTTGTTGTGATATCAAAATCTGATCTTGATGGATATGAATCCGATTGCAAATCGAGCAGAATATGGGAACTGAGCCTAGTGTATCGTGTGCAGTTTGCTGGTCAAGCTGCTCTTGCTAGCCTCTCATGCTTATGGCTCCGGTGTCATACAAATGGAGAAAGATTGGCTGATAATAAGCTTGGAAGGGAGAGTTGCTCTCAGGAGGCCGACCAGCTTGGAATAGGGCATCCTTGTCTTGTCAGTGGGGTGGTTGTAAAATTGTAAATAATACTACCATTAAGTTTTCGCCCTTTTTTTTATAATCACTGCCAAGTATATACCAAAAATTGGCTGTGATTACGCTTTTAAGGCATTTCGATCCAGGTAAGCGTGACTTCTGCATGTACATGTATGTGTGTAATGTGTATATAGAGCAATAAAAATGTCCTGCATTTTCTTATTTAAGAAAGCTTTCCTGGAGTTGAGATTATCGTCTATGCCTTCCCCGTTCAGTGTTCAGAGATGGTGTGCAGTATTTTGTTTTATGCTTGTTATTCAGCGGCTCAATGTTTTAGTTCCAGGTATGTCAAACATCTACGCACTTACCGTATTTATGAAGTACGTGTCAATAGGATTGGTTCAAGGAGAGCTTTTGGTACAGACACTTAGGTATGTTAAACATTTCATTATATGGCAGCGAGTCGTGAATTGTGAAGTATCTCTTGCGATGCGTATTTTATGCAATGTCACATTTCACGTAGAACATTGAAATAGTCATACTGAGATCGTGAGTATTTTTAATATCTGAGGACAGAAGCAGACGAAGAAAAACTTTGATGTTTATATATATTTTTATCCATCAGCCAATCATTAGTAAGCCCTTGAAGTAGGTTAGTGTTTTTGGCAGTTCATTTTTGTTGAGATTGGGTGGCAAAATAAATAACGAGAGTTTCTATATTTTACTTCATAGAGCATGTCCTTTTTTTCGTTCGGGCAGTTATTTGAATCTTGAGAGCATTAGACTTCATTACAGCACATCCCATATGTTGTCTCTCCTCATAGGTCCCCAGTATCGCATGATCTAAAAGGGAAAACAACTGAAACGCCTCGTACAAGTCAGGCCATGAGCGAGTCAACTAATGAGCTCATTGCAACTTGCTTAAGAGACCGAAGTGAAGAAAGCTTTCTTCTTGCGTTTCTCAGCATAGAGACGCTTCAGGAAAGAAATTAAGGATCACCATGTGAGCTGGGATTGAATGATGCATGCAAGATCATACGGTTTTAATGTTTTCATACTTTCAGTTTAAGGAATCCCTCGTCATCGCGTATCAATTGACTGACTGGGTGGCAAAATAAATAACGAACAGGAGCAGGAGAATAGAGTACGTGCTAAAATATATATAATTACAGTCTTCGCAATTTCAGAGTCCTGATGAGATGATAGTTTTTAAAAAAAAAGGCTACATAAGAGAAAAAGATACTTAATCCAGGCGAAAGAAATTATCTAGTAATTTCTACCCATTGACTCGTTGGCACAGTGAGGAGGTGGACAAAAATAAGCAGTGCATTAATCTTTCAATAAGAAAATTTAGTGCGGATTATGGGCAGTTTTAGGGTTCCTCGATCTTCTTTGATGGTTGATTATTGAGCAGAGGATTCGATCCTGCAAAGAAACAATGAGTAAGAGGATCAGAGTTGGGCTCTCCGGGAGTTCCTCCGACGATCAAGTCGGCATTGATCTTAAGTGAAGGAGAAAAATATGATTGCTATGTGTTATGTTGTAAAAAAATACGTATCTCCATTCAGTAGCCAATGCACCTATTTATAGCAGATCTAGGAGGACAATTGTGTAGCTTCGACCAAGTCCTAACAGTCGGTTTATTCGGTTGATACTTTATAGGTGTCGGTTGTGAGTGGTATGAATCATCTTTGTGATTGCTGCAATAGTGACAGGGGGAGTAAGGTGCCGACGAGGTCCGATGAGTCGTTAAGACTTTTCGGGGAGGATGTAATGATGACTTCGACCATTGCATTTAAGGTGATGGTGATTGACTGTCGGCGAGGGGTTCGAGAATGACCATATTTTGTCTTGGCTTTGCGAGAGGGTCCATAAAGGACGCCATTTGATTCGACCACTTTGGATAGAGAGATTTTCCACTCGTTCTTAGAGTTGGCCTTAACAACAGGGTCCGAGTGAGGACGCATTTCGACTCGGGCCTTCTTGGGAAGGGTCGAGTGGTGACGTTATTTGGCTCGTCCTGCATAGGGCCGAGTTTTCTAGGTGTATAGTTAACTCGGGACATGTGTCGTTTCCTAGAGTGGGATTAATACATAGCCATTTCTGTGATATAACATCTTTAAATCTTCTTGTTGAATTCTGATCAAATAGATATAGTCCTTGATACATCAACTATCAAAAGGCAGTTGGATAGTTTCTTCAACTTGAGAAGCTGTGTCAAGTATAAAATTATGACACTCCTTTATCACCACAAATTCAAAATTGTGATGCAATGAAAGAAAATTTTAGGAGATATTTTAAAAATGCATATTTAGTACTTTCCACCTTAAGAAATAGAATCAACTTGCCTTACCGAATTTAGGGGGAAAAAGAGAGAAGTAACAACTATACTATTACTTGTATACTGCAAGCAATAGAAGTGTGGGGGTCCATTTTCTTCGATTTATTTTAAAATTAATAACTTTTTGAGGGAGCCCGCATTTCTCTTTCTTGTAGTATATAATAGAATAACATAATCATAATTAGGACAAAATTTTGTTTTAGACCTCTTTAGAAAACTATTTGCAAAAATCGACCTATTTTGAAAATATTCACCAATTTCGATCCAGTTTCAACCAACCGCTAAAATTGGGTCGAAATTGGAGAAAAATGTTCAAAAACTTCACGGGAATTGAAATCCCGTGAAATTTAAGCCATTTGTTAAGGACGTGATTAAGGGGGCAAAAACTTCACGGAATTCTAAATCCCGTGAAGTTTAGAATTAGCCTAACTCCATGAGATTTTAAACTCCGGGGAGTTCAATATAACATGGTCGCCATAGTTAGACAAGTGGTTAGCTCAAAGAAAATTAAACTTCAATCATTCAAGTGATCTTGAGTTCGAATCTCATCCCAATATATTTTTCCTTGAACATTTAGAAAAGTTTACAAGGCTTGCTTCCCATCCAAATCTTGTAAGCTAATGTTATAACCACTAAACCCATTGCACATAACTACTTATTTTATGAATTTTGTTTAATATAAACTTTACAGGATTTGAAATCCCGTGAAGTTTAAGCTTCACAGGATTTCAAATCCCGTGAAGATTTGACCCCCTTAACGATGTTGGTAATAAATAGCTTAAACTTCACAGGATTTCAAATACTGTAAAGTTTTTGAACATTTTTCGCCAATTTCGACTCAGTTTTAGCCAGTTGGCTAAAGTTGGGTCGAAATTGACGAATACTTTCAAAGTAGATTGATTTTTAAAAATATGTTTCCAAAGAGGTCTAAAATAAAATTTTGTCCTCATAATTATCCCAAAACAGAAAGAGGAAAAAGGGCAAACCAAGCTGCACGAGAATGTAACATAAATACCAACAAACTTATTTGTATCATGCAATGGAATTTGGCTAGATAAGTCCCTAGCTCACATGATGAATAAAAACTTATGAATCGAGGTCCTAGTACCAAAGTTTGAAGCTATAGAAGTTTGGTTACATTTAACATTGCATTCTAAGGAATGATGGCAACAAACCGATGCTTTAAGGGTGTGCTTGGCAAACCTCTAGAATTGAGTCAGGACTAAACCTGATCCAGTTTTAGTTGCTTTTCTAATTGGCAAAAAACTGGGCCAATGCTGGCTTAGTTTGATTAGCCACCTAGCCGAGTTTTTAAAATTTAACAATCACACCCTACGTGTAAGAACCTGTACTTTAACCATTAATCAAATAAAATTAGATCTGATCCCAGCTCTAAAATTTGACAGATTTATAATATTCAAAATAATATGTGGCTTTCCCTAGTTTCTAGAGAATATGTTGGCTAGTAAAAGCTTTTTGTGGATAATTTTCTATTTTATTCGGTACTATTTCTTGCTCCCCTTGCCCTATCACTTTGCTCTCTGTTCCCCTGTAGTCTAGTGTACTTGCTCACATTAAAGATCCTACCCACAGCTCACATGCGCGCACTCCCCCCCTCCCCCACCCCACCCTACCCCACGCCACACGCCACCCAAAAAAAATCTATTTGTATTGAACTAATTTTTAAAATAGACCCTAATTAAGATATATTTTTAAAAATCGACCCATTTAAACTTTATTCAGCATTTTCGACATAGTTTAAACTATCTGGCTAAAACTAGGTCTGCTAAATAGAGTTCGAAAACTTCACAGGATTCTAAATCTCGTGAAGTTTAGTCTCTAATTCCACAGCCTAATCAAAATACAACCAACCAAATCAAGATAACCACCAAACTTCACATGATTTGAAATCATGTGAAGTTTGGTTGTAACTTCGTGAGATTTCAAATCTCATAAAGTTGCAGGGTGCAATTGCCAGAGAGCTTGAATTGAGCTCTCTGGCAAATTAGCCTGCAACTTCACGGGATTTCAAATCCCATGAAGTTGCAGCTCATGCACAAACATGCACACACTGTGCATTTTCCGCCTAACTCAAAACCTATTGTATAAAATGAATTTTCCACCACATTCACAATAATATACATGAAATTTCAACCATAAACACCAAATTTACCACACATATATTGAATTACAATAATATACACTAAAATTCAACTATAAATCACAACAATACACACGAAAAATCACATATATAAATAAAAATCGATCCGCACAAGCAATGATTGCGAACAATCTAACCATATATATTTTTGAGTTTCAGAATCACAAAATAAATATTATGCCACAATATAAAAGCAAAGTTCACGATATAAATATCACATACATCCTAAAAATCTTCCCCTCCTTGCTCTCCTCTCTTACCCCGTCCCCTAACTCTTCCACCTCCCACCCCCCGCCTCAATGTCTGTACTTATAAGCCTCGACCATCTGAGTATCTGGTTGTGTATGAGGTTGAGAAGTACCAACTCTATAATCACACGCTGCGCTATGAGAAGTGCCGACTCCATCATCACGTGCCACTCTTTTACCCATCCTACGTCTTCACGGCACACTTTGCTAAATTGGCCTAACCTGTTCTCACATCCTTCAAACTCGTCGAGTGATTCTTATGGGACACATTTGCTATTCTCTGTCTGATTCTACTGAAGATCCCTAACACTATTGGATCCTGAACCTCAGCAATATGCGCATTTATATCAGCCCCAATCTCATCAAAAGCATGGATTTGAGCACATTTTGCTAAAGATCCTACTGACAACCCTACAGATAAAAATCACATCTGCTATTCTTATGGAACACCTTTCGTTAACTACACAGGATTTGAAATTCTGTAAAGTTGCA